AATATCTTTACAGACGATGAGTAAAAAAATAATAGTACCGGAGTACTTTCTCCATACGTCACCTTCCGTTCATAAGTCACCTTTCTACGAGAGGTATTATCTTGTAAATTGAGCACTTATTTAAATCCAACAGCTTCCAGTATTGTGTGTCTCACTCGTGTAGCGAGTCATTTTTTAATTGGTTTTACTAGTTACACGGACTTAGCTGTGGCTTTCAGCTCGAGATTTAATTTTGATGGTAATGACAGTACCAATTAAAATTTCAGTACTTCAAGATGTCATCACGAAAGGCAACATGGTCGCAATATATATATACTTATGTTTTCATATGACATGGACGAATTATGTTCTTGTTGATACACAGTGGTGTAGACACAAGGGGGAAGTTTGAGGTTAAAATCCCCCTCTATATGTATGTATGTTTGAAAATTAATTCTACCATATTTTTTTATTTTATTTTAATGAATAATTAAAAGGCTAGATACACCGTAAATACAAACAGATTAACCGGGAAATAATCCTGTCACATTCATTTAATTCTTTAAAACAAATAAATGCAACCTATTACGCATTTTTGTGTTGTAACATTATAACATTTTTTCATCATATTTTTCGGCTTTTTTGTATAACCTACTCTCCAAAATCACCAGATTGTAGTTTTTTCTCAATTCTAACAGTTACTGTAGTCGACATGCTTGAAATAATTAACTTGAGCGAGTGTTAATAAATTTAATGTTTTTGTGAAATGAGTTAAAGAACGTTTATTTTACGCAATTGAATTTTCAGGGATTTTGTACCTTAACCCCAAATTTTTGATACGCCACTGTATCTACAACAAATTATGTGACTGTATTGTTTAATGTGATAGTATTCTAAATTTCTGTAGGTATTCCTACATAAAGTATTCTTGTTGAATAAAAAATATTGATGTTTAATTAAATTTGTTATTTTTTAAACGTAATAGTAACATACATTTCCGTGTGACCTTTAAAACAGAAAAAAGTTGCAAATCTTTGGATTAATTTATTTAGTTATTCTCATCTGATAAGCTTATTTTTTGCAAATTTACCTATTTATTATTATTAATATATATTTATTTATAACAGTCACCTGGTCAAAAAAGCCGATTTTTATTATTAAATAGGAAGTATCAGGCATGAAGAGTTAGTCATAGATATACTAAAAACATAAACATTAGACTACTGTTCACAAATAGTTAAGGATGTGGGATGTTCTAGTTTTAGGGAAATGCGATGATTAGCCCAGGATAGGAAAGAGCAGAGGTGCATGTCTAACCAGTCTTAGGACTGGCGAACTTATAATGATGATGCAGTATCAATATCATTGAATTTAATAACTACTGATAAACGAATTATGTACTTAATCATTAATTTTTATTTATGTTTAAGCATATCGTTTTTAAGTAAATATGCTTGTTCTACATTAATTTAACGTTTTCTTTATGATTAAGTTAAAATTAATTACGGAATACAAGAAGCATTAAAAACAAAACTTACTTCTTACCAAATTAGTTCATCTTTCTCTTCTGCTTGCTGAATTTCTGTTTTCTGTGTAATTAGACTGTTATTGTAAAATGTATATTAAGTTGTTGATAACAATGATAAAGCTTAAAAACAATCTATTCAAAATGAATTAGGTATAACTACTTTAGGTGCTAGAATTAAACTTATTAATATACCTACGTACGTCAATACAATAATAATTCTAAAGTAATATAAGTGTAGTCGTTAGAGATTCTTTAAGATAATTCTACGTAGAATAACATGAGCCAGCCAGTCTATTTTTTTTTCTTTTAATTTTTCAAGGTGCTTGCCAAGGAAAAACTGCCATCAAGTTTGATCAAACCGATCCATTTAGTATAATAAAGACGCTTTTTTATATAACTGTGTAACGTTAAAAGAATAGCTATCATACCCGATACGAATAATAATTATTCTGGAATTGGAACGATGCCGTTGCGATGTGTTTTGTGTCAAAGAAGAGACGTTACGTAAGATTGTTTATAGCCAATTAAACAGCAATTTCATGTAATTGATGCATTGTCACTCTAAAGAGGTTTATTGTAAATTTACGCACATTCGCAGGTTGAAATGTTTGCAAGAGAATAATAATTAAATTGCGGCATTTTCCAACTTAGGCTCGCTGCTATGTTTACAGAAGATTACGCGCTACTGAAATTATTATTAGAGGATGTTTTTTTAAGATTATAAAAGCAAAATGACCACTCGAAAGATCTTTATTCTATTATGATTTAATTGTGCTTAGAATGTCAAATTCTTAACTATTGTATAGCAATGGGTATTTTTTTTACATTAAAAGAGCCCTTAGAATCACTTACGTGTCAGATTATCGTTAATTCACATTTAATATCGTTGACGTATGTGTTTTATTTGTGAATATCGAAAATTAAAGTAAAATAACAATCGTTTGAGATCATAATACAAAAATTACTGCGGAGATATCAATAGCGCGTTAAGCGACGAACCCGAATTCCTATTCAATTTAAAACTTTTATTGGGGAAACTGGAGCCTGCAATTCATTATTTTTATGTCTTTTTAGAGTTTTGTAAACACCTCAAAAAGACAAACAGAACATTTATAAAATCATTTGGATATGCGTCTATCAGTTAGAGTCGTTTTTGTTTTTGAAACTGCTCGATATAAAAATTTGAAATTTTGGTACCTACCTGTGGATGTTAAAGGAGCCCTTAGAATCACTTACGTGTCTGATTATCGTTAATTTACATTTACTATCGTTGAAGTATGTGTTTTATTTGTGAATATCGAAATTTAAAGTAAAATAACAGTCACTTGAGGTCATAATATAGTACAATAAAATAACTCCAGAGATATCAAGAGTGCGTTAAGCGACGAACCCGAATTTCTATTCAAATTTAAAACTTTTATTGGAGAAACTGGAGCCTGCAATTCATTGTTTTTATGTCTTTTTAGAGGTTTTTAAATACCTCAAAAAAGAAAATTTATAAAATCATTTGGATATGCGTTTTTGTTTTTGAAACTGTTCGAAATAAAAATTTGAAATTTTGGTACTTATCTGTAGTTGTTAATAAATGCAGAAATGTTATACTAGATTTGTACTCCGCTTTAGTTTTAGTTACTTTTAGAGATTTGTAACAAAAATTGGAAAAATAGAGTATATATATACTTAATGCAAATTAAATCGTAACATTTAAAAAAACATTGAAGTTACTAAAAGTGAATCACGTTAAAATGGAGATTATTACAATATACTTAGTAAATATTTCGTATAAATAAACTTATTTACAATCAAAAATTGAAATTGTCAGAATATTAAATTTAGATTTGGTGTGTTATCGTAAGACTAAAGCTCTAGTTGATCCTTCGGGTCTTTCAAATAACATCTTATTTCTTGATAATTAATACATGTATTAATTATTCTATTCTTTGTAAAATATTTCAAATTTAATGCAATATGCACTATCTAATTGGGAGGTATAAAAAATTGTTTCTATACATATTTTTAGACGTGATCGAAGAGCTGTTGCAACATGGTATAATAAAACATACTTTTATATTCCAACTTCCGACTTTTTGACCAGAGTTTTCGGTTAAGCAAACGGTGTATTCATCAATCAATTCAATTCGAATAAAATTTATAAGTCAATAAGTCATTGTGACAAAATATTTATTGACACACCTGAAGGAACTGACAAATACAATGTCTTGAAAGATTTATGTAAAAACGCGTTTGTATAATGCACATATATGTATGTAGATATGTATTTCAACAAATAACGGAATGATTTTGGACTAAGAACAAACTCAAGTCGTTAAATGTGCAAATTGCACTAACGCTTTCGATCTTAACATTGAACTTTTGTGGACTTTTAGTTCTTGAAATGTTGAATGATTAATTCCTTTTGTAAGTATTGGGTCTTTAATATTAATTAAGGTGTAAAAGATTTGGGTCATAGGTTATAGTAATTTCTTAAAAATAAATAGGATTTCGGGGCATTTCGGAATGTTCCAAAAACGAAGGCAGTCACTTAACATGAGCATTAAACTAGGGTAAAAAACTAAAAATGTAAGTGATACATAGAATCTTAAAGCTAGTCTTGTTCAAATTTCATTATTGTAACTCATTTTCAGTGCAATAGAGTGGTATGGCATTTCAATGATTACTTATTTTAATGATGACTAAGTAAGTCACTCATTTATCAAAATTAGAGGTAGAAACTTCCTGGTCCCGTAGATTAGACGTTAAAAGGACTCACAGAAGAGAGCTTTTTTTACACATTCATATATTTTCAGTAGGATAGGTATTGCAAAAAACATAGGTATTATAAAATTTCCGAAATGTACCTATAGATAGACATAGCGAAGCCAATTAAAATGTTACTATGTTTGTCTTTTGTAAATTTAAATTTTAGTTATAGTTTGAACAACGAACAAAAAGTTAAAAATTGGAAATTTTCGACTTTTTCATAGATAGATATTTATTTAAAAGAATCGATTCAACTACTTTCTTATTTCCCCAAGATAAATATTACAATTCAAATAAGTGCCGATGTAGATAAATATTCTAATTCTTGTTCCTATGAAGTACTTTTGGGGGCGGACATTGTGTTGAATATATTATTATTATAATTATTATCGTTATCGAAAGCTCTGTCTTTCTCTAATTAGATTAGCTAAATTAATACGGTTATCATAACAAATTCATCGGTTCTATGGATGAATGCTTTTAAAACCAGTCAAAGATTTGTTCAACTAGAACCTGTGGCACTAGAGACATTTAATTAAAAGGAAAACGTCAACTCCTATTGAGATTTAATATATTAAAACAAAAAACGTAGAAGGCACGATACAATTAACGCTTTTAAAAACTGCAATGCCTATTGTTATTTCAGTTTCAATAATTTTTTTTTAATCGATATTCGTGATAGCATTGCTATTTGTAAAAGATAAAAATAAATATTAAAATTTGTAAAACTTACCAAAATCAAAAACTGTACTGATTCCATTTTGGAGACAAATGTGTAAAAATCCTCGCAGATAGGGGATGTAATTAGTACAAAAACTGCAATAGAAGTTACCGGAAATTTTACAGATAATTTTTCTATTCCCTTATTTTTAATTACGAAGACTATTAACGATGGCTAACTGGAGGAATAGTGTATCGTCTTCACGCCACGAATAATAATACAGAAGTAATATTAGAAAATAAAAAACACCGCGACGTTAACAATACAATAACAATCGTGTCGAAAAAATAGATGCGTGTGCATCGCAAAGAATAACCAAATAAACTGAACTGGTCGTTCGGAGGTAGCTGCCGCTTCATTATTCTTTCGTAAGAGAATAGTGCGCGGAGCGCGGTGCTGGTTGCACTCGGTCACTTAACGTACGTACGTTCGAAGCCCTGGAGCCCCCGGACTCAAAGTCGTTGCCATCGTTAGCGCGAGAGATCGTCGTCAGGTCGCGGTCACGATAAAGACTCTTCTTCACTCAGCTCCCAACAATTAGGGACAACGCACTGTGGGACTAAATTTAGTCTTTTCGTTTAAATTAATAGTACCTAATAATGAAAATTTATTTGAAGCTTAATAATTCTAAATAAGCTAGTGAAACTCGATTATGGAAATGCAAATCAAAATATGTCAAAAAGCGTAGCATTGTTGGGAAATTTTGTGGTTTTCGAGCCCCTGCAAATTTTCTAAAGAAATTTCGAGGGGAGCGGCCGTTACAAACTGCTTAGTTTAAATTATTGCTGTAGACTGATTCTACGTAAATCTAACTCACTTCACATATCGAATGAACTATATTCTGTTTTTTTCATAAACTAAAAAAAAAACAATATAAAGGTATGACAAATATCTTCTTTGGATGTTAAGTAAATAAAAATTGCGTCTGTACAAAATTCTGTCGCTTTTCTTATACTCTTTATAAGGGTAATAGAAAATATTCTATACCTTAAGTGTTATTGTAGAGGGGTAATATTATTAGTCCACGATACGGCATCGTCTTTTTCAAATTTCGAACTGTCATATATGAAGCTTCGTGAATAGCTTCATTTTAACTTGCACCCATTTTTTCGACTAAAGCATTGAAATATTGTTTGTGTTCAGTATCGAAACTGAAAAACACGTCAGTGTAATGATGTTTTAAAAACGTTGAAATAAGGCCTAGAATGGAGCGAATATGTGGCATCGTAAAATACCATCATCATAAGGTCGTCAATCCTAAGACTGGTTAGACACGCACCTCAGGTCTTTCCTACCTCGAGCAAATCTTCGCATCCTTAACTATTTGCGAACAGTAATCTAATCTAGGTCTACCTCTACCCCTCCTGACTCCCGTTTCTGCCACTAATATGCCTCTGACTAGACCTTCATGCCTGTCCTACCTCCCTATCTCGCCTATTTCTTATTAACTTCCGTAGGTATAGACTTTGTTCTTCTATACTTTCTAATACCTCCTCATTTTTAACCTTCTCTATCCACGGTATCCTCATAATTCGTCTGTAACATCACATTTCGAACGCTTGTAACCTTTTCTTTCCCGCGACGCTACCGTCCATGTTTCGCACCTATACAGCGCCTCGCTCAAAACATATACCTTTAACAATCTTTTCCAAATTTCTAAATTAATCCTTCGCGAGCAAGTGGCTTCTTTTTATTGAAAACGATTCAACCCTACGCTATCCTCTGCCTACTACTCCTTCCGTCCTGATTTATAACTTCTTAGATACCTAAAATCAGCCACTTCTAATTTTTCGTCTCCTATCTTTATATTCGCTCTTTCCCTACAATATACGTATATGTTAGGCCCGAAGACCGAAAGACGCTCAGTGGCCGGAAAAAACGGCCACAACGCGTTCTGGCTGCCTTCAAACGCACAGAGCGCGTTCTGGCTGTTTTTAAACGCTCGCAACGCGTTCTGGTAACTGTTAAACAGCCGGAACGCGTTTTGTTAATTGTCGAACGCTCACAACGCGTTCTTAATGTTCGATTTGTATTATTTGCCGCTTTCTACCTGTGTACAATGAGATTTATTTTGTACTCCACAATAAGTTAAATGTGTAGAAAATAAATCGAAATTCATTTGTTTAATGAATAACTTTTCGCTTTTTCATTCATTCATTCATATATCATATGCTCGACAATATAAGTGTTCAGTGTAACTTTCTTCCTAGAACTGAAAAACAATTATAAGAAATTTAATATTGTTGAAATGATTCGGCGAGAAAAACCGAACCCATCTTTGGTATCCAATTATAGTTGTCAATAATTGAATTGTTTCCTAAAAACTGAAAAATGGATTGAAATTCATTTGTTTTATAAGTACAATATAAATCTCATTGTACGCAGGTAGAAAGCGGCAAATAATACAAGTCGAACATTAAGAACGCGTTGTGAGCGTTCAACAATTGACAAAACGCGTTCCGGCTGTTTAACAGTTACCAGAACGCGTTGCGAGCGTTTAAAAACAGCCAGAACGCGTTCTGTGCGTTTGAAGGCAGCCAGAACGCGTTGTGGCCGTTTTTTCCGGCCACTGAGCGTTTTCGGTCTTCGGGCCTAACATATATACAAAATGACACCATATTATTGTCCCCATGTTAACAGTTGAAAACAATCCATTTCCCCGAATTTTCGCAGATGAAATGGTTGTAGGTTACGTTAAACTAAAGCGATTTACGAAGCTTCAGATGAGTACTAATATTTTTTAAAAGCTGTGTACTATATATTTTATTGTCGGTAATTGTTTTACAAATAGACCTATGTTATACAAACATCATTCTGTAATTGAATCGACAATAAAAATAAAAGGTCTGTCACGTCTTCAGAAAAACAATCATAACTTTAAAACTTGTCTTGCTAAAACGTGCATTAAAAGAAGCAACGTTGGTATTGGCATGTCAAATAAATTGTCTGTTGTCTCTATCTCCAATCTCGACTTTGATTATGTTATATATAATGTTAGACAAAATCTGTAACAATGTTTTATCCGTTATACAATTTATTAAAAGCATGTACGATTATATACTTTGCTCCACCCATCTAAAAGCAGCACGTGTAAGAATAACCATTAAGTTATTTTTCTTATCATTTAATGAATTTTATTCTCCATTTCCTGTATTATTTTACACAATTTTGTTTTTATTTTATCATTGCCTACAGTGTTAAATGGCATTTTCTAGTCTTGCAACCATTTGTTAACGTTATCTGTAAGATCAGACTTCATTCTGTAAATGAATCCACTCCTTTCCTTATTTTTCTTTGTTTGAAGTTAACATACGTGACACAAGCGGCTTTCCACGTGATTTTAGATTACACTGTAATTTTATATTATTTCTTTTAATAAAATAAGAATTACAAATATAAACGCGCCGTATTATAACCGAGTCCTGTGTTACACAACCTTGTGGTTTAATTTTTCAACAGAAATGTAAAAATAATTTATTGTAANAGCGTTGTTCAGTTACGGTTAGGTTAAAACATCGTTGGAGAGAATTAACACGGTTAACTTGCTAGATGGTAATTATTTTTATATAGTATGAATACTGCCGTATGAAATGTATCTATGCTATAATTTACGTGACTGTGATCGAACCGTGGCTTGACCGATGACATGAATCGGACTTTAATACGATGTTCATTATAGCCGGTCGTAAGTACTAATTTTGCGTTCAAAAAGTTCGCTAAAGCCAATCGTTGGTTATAAATGTGTTTGTTATATCTAAGTACGAATAACAGGGGTTAAAATTTTTCTCGTACAAATAGCGTCCCAACTTTAGGTAGGTTAAGTTAGGTTAGGTTACAACGAAGTATTCGTTCATTATAATAGGTCGTACCTGCTAATTTTCTTTTCCAAAGATTAGCTAAAGCCAATCGTTAGTTGTAAATGTGTTCGTTATATCCAAGTATGAATAACAGGCGTTTAAATTTTTCGCATACGAATAGCATTCGAACTTTAGGTAGGTCAATGTTACAACGAAATATTAGTTCATTATAGTCGATCATACTTACTAATTTCCCATTCAAAAACATTCGCTAAAGTCAATCGTTTCTTATAAACGTGTTCCTTATATAACTATTAATAATTGCTGTTTTTACTTGATAGATTTTAGCTAGAAAGGTGCCGTTAGATTCGTCTTAATTGTGAGAGTGACACTGAATATATCGAAATTATAAAAATTAAAATGGCCGATTTTTTGCGTCATACTATGTCTTTTCTTTCCTCAAAACCTATCGGGTAGGGTGTCAAAATAAAAGGTTTTATAAATGACTTTAAAAAATATATATTACAAAAGTTCAAATGTAAATTAGAATGAGAAATGATAAACATCTATCTTTTCAGTTTATTAAGTAAGTTTAAAAATTTTAAGTTTTTCTTTTTCTTTTTCTTTCAATAATAAATATTGACCAGGACGATTACCTCCACCGAAAATGGTGTCAAAAATAACTAAAACTTGGAGAATTTTACTCCAGAAAACTAAATTGCTCGAGATATAAAACAATAAAAGTAATTCTGACTACAACTTAAAGTCGCACGAAGAATAGTGTGTTGATCATAGGGCACATAATCACCAAAATCTCTTAAAATGTGATGTCTCAAAATGACTTTTCAAACTTGGGCCGCGAAAGAGTACCTACTATTTTCTATTCTACCTACTTATGTTTTAAACAAAAACAATTCAATTCTGTGTTTAAATTATTGGCTGTACCCACGTACCTAATAAAGAACGAAAATAAGTTTTTTGTTTTGCACTGCACGTTTACTGCATTAAAGTCCTTGCGAAAATTATTTATTTTTTTCGTAAAATTTTAGCATGTTTTACCACATTGCATTAATTTATTATCAATCGCAAGAACAACCTACGAATTAACCACACACTTAAAAACTCTACTCAATTTTCATTTCTCTTATACATGAACCTAATACGTAAATTAATTTTAATTGTTACAATAACTGCGTGTGCACAATAGTGCATTGTATTTTCTTTACCATAATATCATTATCTAAGGATTGCCTGGTAAAAAGTTGAAGCGAATCGGAACGTATTCATTTCTCGATTTAGATTTATTGTTCATCCAGATATAAAGATTTTATGTCAAAATGATTAAAGATGCTCCTTTGAAGTGAATGCATACAACGAAAAACTCGTTTTTCACAATTTTCCTTGCCGAGGAAATCTCAAGTTATTACATTTTCCTTTAAGAAACACGTACACTCATTGCCTAACAGCGCCAAAACATGAATCGAAATTGTTCTGCCATTTCAGGCAGTTGCGAGGCTCGTAGGCGCAAAAAACTTGTATCTATAATAAGAATGTCGACGCTGCTGCAATA